TAAATAAAATAATTATTATATATTTATTTAATTTATTGTTCATATTATTTTTTAATTTTCACCTGAACAAAAAATAGCAACAATGTTAAATTATGCAAAATAATTTACAAATTAATGGCATGCAGATGTATTTTATTCACAATTTGATGTGTTTCCCTAATAACATTAACTTGATTATATTTATTATATTATGCCATCAGAGCAGCAAATATATGCATTAAATCTCAGCTGCAGCAATTACAGTTAGCTAAGAAAACCTTGCCCAAATAATGCAATTACTAACTTCAAAGGGAAATACATACATATGTATATTAAGCTCTTCGCACGCTGGATAATTATATGTAATGCAATACATATGTGAATACATAAATATATGTATATGTGTGTGCATAATAGATGTAGCTGTCTGTGCTTAGCTCTAACAAGCACTCAATAATGTACTTTTTGATAAACGGATATACATTTGCATTTGTGAATGTATTTCCACAGTAAATTGGCAAGCAAATGCTCCACATGTGAGTGTCTGTGTATGTGTGTTTGTGTGTGTGTGTGCATATTTTATAAATTCATATGTGCATTTGTATCAATAAGAAGAATCAAGCTAGATACCCTTACACACGCATACATACATACACACACACACACATACATATATATAAATATTCGACAATAAATTGCGAGCGTGTGTCCTTTTTTGTGCTTGGCCGAGCTTTGTTGTAAAATAAACAGCAGCAGGCTCCAGCGTATTTACTCATGACCTTGCTTTGCCAAAGCCAACAACAATGAGCACACACACACGCACACTCTCTCCCTCTCCCGCTCACTCACTCGCCGCTGACTGGCGTTTGGCGCTGTCCCAAGGACATTTTTCATGTGCGCAATGTGACATTTTTTCCGTTTTGTTTTTGGAATTCGTTCCTCTTGGCACTCGCACAGTGTCGCAAAAGCAGACGAATCCAATTAATATACCATTATCGATTGGCCATCCATGAGACAGCATAATAATGACCTTACTGCCGTTAGTCAATTAATCATTCGAGCAAATTGTTTTAATTGCTGCCGAACTCATCTGGGCACTAAGCTCTTGGCCCCACTGTGCATTGCTCCCTTGCGTTGGCATTGTCAATGGCCTCCCGGTTTTGTTTGATTTGAAAAGTAACTGTTGTTCAAATACAAACACTAACTAATATGCGCACACATACATATTCATAAGCGCACATAACTCTCATATTTATGCATATTTCTTTAGTTATACTCCGAATGCCCTTGCGACAGAGCATTTGCATTCTCGGGTAGTTGTCGCAGAAGTCTTTGACTTTGAAAAGCTAATGATGTTTATGCATGGCAATTTGTCCTTTTTTATTCTGAGCAAAGTTTAGTTTTTTTCTTATTGTATATTTATTAGAGGATAGCATGAATGAATAAAAATACAGACCAGATTTTAATGACATTAAATTGATCTATATAACTCAGGTATTTCTTATATAAGTCCATTTAATACTCAAAACTTTTTTCGGAGATCTGTTCAAGACTTTTCAATAAACTATATAACTATTATATTAATATATAATATTAATATTAATATTATTAATATATAATATATCGAACATATATTGAATAGTTATACCTTCCTCTAGTAT